TGCTGCTGCGAGGGGAAGGGGCGCGACCATCCAACGCGCGCCCGCGAGTGTAGGTTCGCGGGTCCTAATGCACGGCCGCGTCCACGTGCGGGTCAACGTCCACGAGCGCTAGCACGACGTGGAGGAGCGCGTCTTACCAGCGACCGACCGGCTCAGCTGCCCGGAGGAGCCGACCTCGGAGCAGCAGACGAGGCAGCGCTACCAACGTCACCAGCCAGCACGCAAGGGGCCAGGTCATCTTTCGGCGCTGGGGCTCAGGGTAGTGGAGTGGGCAGACGTTGCCAACCCGCGACTACGAGCCAGTCCAGTAGCCGGCGCAGCACCGAGGCGGACAGCGACGCGAGCTGCCGACGCCGCCGTCAGCAACCCAACGCCTGCAGACGACCGCGCCACTGCGAGCATACGCGAATGCGAGAGCTACGCGAGCTACATCTGGCGGTGGCGCGCCACCAAGGAGGAGATGGCGCGAGCGCTGTGTGCGGCCAACATGCCGCAGGCAATCTTCCCCACTGTGGTCAAGAACTGTCGGGGATGTCGTAAGTGGTGTCCGCGGGCGCCGCAGACCATCCCTGCGCTGCGTCGCGGATCGCATGGTGCTGCGCCTGAGGCGCCGCGCCTCGAGGTAGCGCAGCGGCCGAGAGATCGCGGGCAGGTGCGACCCAGCGTTGCTGGCAGCTGTGGGCAGGTCATGGGTCCATCTATTCGGACCAATTGAGACCTCCATCGTGGACGGCGAAGGCGGGATGACCTCCAAGTACTTCGTAGAAGAGATTTGGAGGAGAGGAGCCCAGGTGGACATCCGTGCTCCACGCCAGCACGCCCGTTTCATGGAGAGACGCGGTGCAGTGTTTCGACGCGCGCCGCGCGCCGCCGAGGAGCAGCTGGAGCGCGGAGAAATTCTTGCCAACTTCGACTCCGTGCCAGCCCGCGCCATGTTCGTGGGCAACAGCCTCGCCCATGTAGGCGGCGTGGCGCCGTGCGACGTCGTCTTTGGCAGGCAGCCCTTCATGCTGCCATTGCTCGAAGGAGACGACTGTGGTGAGGGCGCCCATGTCGCGAGTGCCATACCAGCTGCCGGTAGCGAGGTGCAACCCAGCAGACTACAGTGGCGCATCCGTGATATCGCCCTGCAGCGTATGAGGTTACGTCGATCGCTCGCGTCAACCGCGCCCTCCGAACGCGCGCCACCGAGACTGGAGAGGGGCGCTTCAACGTGGGTGGTCAGGTGGAGATCCACCGTCGTCCTTGCACGAAAGATGTGCCAGGCTGGGCAGGTTCTCGATTCGTTCTTTCTGTGGCCGGCCAGAGGCAAGGTCGCGGTCGAGTGCTGCACCGCCGAGATGGTCTGCAGAGCGCAGGACGTGCAAACCTTCATCGATGCCGTCTTCAACGTCATTGGCACCAGCATGGTGCGAGCAGGCCTGGCCTGGGATCGCGCGGGGGACTTCCTCGAGCACATCGCGCTAGGCTCACGAGCCAGGACTATCGGCCGCCGGGGGGGCGAGCGGGGCAAGCAGCTGACCGAGCGGGCTTGGCCACGCCCCGATGTCCTTGCGGCGTCCTTACGGCTCTGCGCCGCGCGTCCAGCGGATATTTTCAGCTGCCAGACGTTCGTGCCGTGCGTCTGGTATGCGGTCAGACCTCTGTGGGCGACGTGCCGGGCTGCAGCCGCAGTCTGGTCATATGGTGGTTCCCTCGGAGCCCAAGTGACGTCCACCGCGTGCACTTGGACGGCGTCGAGTTCGACGCCCGCGGCCCCGTCGTCGCGCAGTGGAAGGATGCTCGCGTCATCCAGTTTGTCTTGGTGACGAACAGGTCAGCCGATGCCAGGCAGGATCAAGATGGGGCGTTCGCTGACTGTGTCATTGACGTCCCCGAGGACGCCGCCAGCCTCGCCGAGGGTGGTTCGCCATCAGCCCTGTTGGTGATGCCCGGTGCGGCCGACAGCGACTTCTCCGGCCACGTCCAGCAGGTGATGTTGGCAGTTTGGCAGGGGGTCGATGGCGCGGAGGATCTGACCCAGGAGCTTCAGGAGGTGGAAGGCCCCGACAGCCAGCAATTGGTCTACGCTGCTGCTGATCACGCGGCCGCCAGCATGGCCCGCAGACCACGCGAGTGGCCCCAGCACCTGGAGACTCAGCGTCAGCTCCGGCAGATCCACGCGCAGTGCCACTACCACCTGCGCGGCGCCACTCTGGACGACTACGCAAGGCCTGAGGGGGAGGATGGAGGAGGAATGCACGTGGAGTTATACTTCGACCCAGAGTGCGCGAAGTATATCTGAGCTGCCACGAGGGCAACTATGTTGCCAGCGGGCACGCCGCGGCCGTGCTTGAGGTCCACGCCGCCGTCGAGACCGCGGTAATCGAGCGCGACGCCGATCTCCTCGCCAAAGAGGGGGTGTCGAGGCTGACCAAGGAGGTGGCCGCCGCCGTCTTCGAGGAGCTCACCATCTGGGTCTAGTATAAGTGTTTCGAGCGCCGTCTTTACAAGGGGGCTCGGAACGTCGCGGGCTCTAGGCGCGTGTTGGAGTGGGGGCGCTGGAAAGAATGAGGCGGCAAATCCGCTGGGGCCACCCGGTGCCGAATGGCGCTGAGAGGCTTCCGCGACATGGACGCCAGAGCCCGGGATACGTTCGCTGGAGCGGCGAAGCGGCCGCCTCAGCGCATTCTGTTCTCAGCGGCAGCCCATCGACCCGAGGGGGCGTGCGTCGCCGTGCACGTGGAGGGGTTGTTCCTGCAGGGCATGACCCATGCCGATGTGCCGGAGCACGGCGAAGCACCCGGGGAGGTCAATGTCGCCCTGCCGCCCAGCAGCGCGGCCATCCCCAGGCAGGTCCCGGGCTGCGAGTCTTTCGACGAGCGGGCCGAGTGCTTGCGCAGCATCGAGCCACGCATGGGCTGCAAGGATGCGCTCAGAGCTTTCTCCGCGAAGCGCGACCGGGTCAGGCGCTCAGAGGAGCGCGGCGCCAAGCCGATGCGGTGGGGCCTGGGGCTCGAGGGCAAGCCCGAGGCGTTGGTCACCTTTGGTGCTGGCGCCTCGGAGTTAGTGCTCATGCTGTTCAAGTGCGTCGGTGATCTCAAGATAGCAGGACGCAAGGGGCACGTCGACCTTCTCATCGGCCACGTCGAGAGCGTCTTCGGAGACATGAAGGAAGGCTTCGACAACTTTACCAACTGCAGCTTCCATCAACACCGCGGCGCAGACGGTGGCGCGACGCCCGACCAGGGCGAGAGCATCGACGCCCTGGCCCCCGTCGGGCCAGACAATTATCCGTCATGCTGTGCTGCGACGCCCGCGACATGCGAGCGGGCCCCATGACGAAAGGGAGCATCGGCAGAGAGCTCATCCTCGACGTCATGGAGAGCAAGCTTATCTACGTCCACCCCACAGTGAGGCTAAGCGAGCAGCGCAACAAGAAGGCCGTGCCAAGCTCCAGCACGAGCGACTTCAAAAACTAACGACGGGTGACTCGATTGCGGACGCAGGCGAACTACATCCCCAGGCTGAAAGTTTTTTCTTCTTGCATGGGAACGCACGGATCCATTTGGTTCCAATTGCGTGCGCGTCTCCCCCGCCAGCACGCGCAGCGCGCTGAAGGGCAGAAGTGGCGCAAAACTCTTCATCCCCAGACCGAAAGTTTTTTTGGTCTTGCATGGGAGCGCACGGGTTCATTTTGATCCAATTACGTGTGTGCGAGAGTCACTTGGATCCAATTTCCGTGTCTTCTGGATCCAAGTCTTCTGCTGGAATGAATTTATATTAATAACTAATACAAGGGACCCAAGGGGAAATGGATCCACGGAGCATTGGACCTGCAGCCCAAGCTATGAGTCGACGTGGGAGGGGCTTCCCAACCGAGGAGGGAGGCGGACGAGGAGGGAGGACGGAAGAGGCGGATGAGGGAGGAGGGAGGAGGAGGGAAAACAACCGCGGTGCCCAAGTCGGGAGCTCGAGCGCCACAGCGGGCCTGGCCACCTCTCCGAACCCCTCCCATAACATGTCGTTGCTCGAGCACCACAGCTGCCCCGGCCAACTTCCGCAACCTCCATAACATGTGGGTGCTCGAGCGCCACAGCGGGCCTGGCCAACTCCCGCAGCCTCCCATAACATATGCCGCGCCCCACCTCGACGCGAGCGCGATATGATCGCTGCGTCCGCATCCGCTAAAATCAACGACACGTCGCATATGTCCTGTGGGCCTTGAGAGGAAAACCCTTCGGCCTGCGCAATTATGTTCGCGAGTCGAAGTAGTGAGCCACTGCGCATGAGGCGAATTGTTGTGATGAGAGGTTGCTCTCTTGAGCTGTGTTCGAGAAGCAGCACTTGAGATGGGAGGCCGTTTGCACTTTCAACCGTCAGCTGCTGGTGTTGAAAGGGGTTTGTTGACTGGCTTCGGCTAGTCGCATGGTCGAATACCGGAGTAATTCCACCATTGCCACGGATGCCGTAACATAGAGATTTTGCGTTCGACACCGTGGGGGCCAACGCGCGTTGGAGTGGAGCGAAATCAGTCATGTACGGGACCGGCCGAAGCGGTTAAATCTACTCTTTCTGGTGGCAATGTCTATGAGGAACCCAGTTATTAGTATAACGTTCTCCGACCCTGCATCTGTTAAGGCAGTCCGGGGTGTTTTATTGGAGGTCTGGACTGTTTGCGTCCGTGCTGCCAACGAGGTACAACTGACCCATTTGAACACCAAGCTCGAACGTAGCATGCTGGTTTGCAGGGTAGTGTAGCACATATACAGAAATATGGAGCTGCGCGTGAGGAAAAAAGAGTGCCCCTAGGCATGTGGCTCAAAGGATCACTCTTGCGCCCGCTTTACAGTTGCTTGTCACTGCCCGCCATACTGATGAAAAACCGTTATTTCATCCCACGCTTTATATTTCTAGTCTTCTCTTCTTCCTCTTCCTCCTCCTCCTCCTCCTGTTCCTCCTCCTCCTGTTCCTCGTCCTTTTCGTAGCCTGGCTACGCGCTGCCGCGCCAGCGACGAGAGGCTGGAGTGTCGGAGTTGGCGGCCAGCCTGGCCGTGGAGGGCAAGTCCAGAGGCGAGTCGTTCAACTGCGGGTTGCGGTGCCGAATCGTCGCAGGGCAGCAGGCGGACAAGCCGAACAGTAAACGATGAATGGTGATGTGTGCAGTCGTATTTCGAGTGCCATTGCCGCCGCCGTCGCAGTCGCCGGTGCAGTCGCCGCGCCTTCTTCGTCGTCGTCGTCCCGTATGGGCGTCTCGTCTCATCGTACCCCCCCAATCGTTTTCGATACGGAAAGGCGGATCTCAACTCATGGTCTTCCTGTGGGCGGCGTGTCCTGTAGCTGTATTGCGGCGCTCGCTATGTTTCTACTGACTTAATTATGTTTGTGGAGGTGGGCGGCACGGGGAGGTGGACGCGGGAGGACGAGGAGGAAGATGAGGATGAAACCAATGAGACTGTTCACACTTGTTGTTCCCAACCATCCTGTGGTGTTGGGTCCTCGTTTTGAAGAGAGCGTTCCGAGTTCCTCTTCTCCTTCTTCCCCTTCTCCCTCCTCCCGCCTTTGCCTCTGCCAACCTGCATGTCCGCGTCCTCATCGTCATCATCATCACCATCATTCCAAACAGTCTGTAAACCTCTGTCCTCTGCATGTCCTCATCGTCGTGATCATCATCATCATCACCACCACCACCACTACCATCATCATCATCATCAGCATCATCATCATCATCATCATCATCATCATCATCATCATCATCATCATCATCATCATCATCATCATCATCATCATCATCATCATCATCATCAGTACCATCATCATCAGTATTATCATTATCGTTATTATTATCATCACCATCATCACCACCATCATCTTCATCATCACCACCACCATCATCATCATCATCACCATAATCACCAGCATCAACATCATCAGCATCACCACCACCATGGCCGTCATAATCGTCGTCGTCATCATCATCATCATCATCATCATCATCATCATCATCATCATCGTCATCATCAGCATCATCGCCGCCATCATCGCCATCATCGGCCTCGGCTGCAGCTTCGGCACACCCCTCACCTTTCGTGGCTCCATGGGGGGCTCCACCTGAGGACCCAGTTGCTGCGTTCTCATGCCGCCACCCCCCTCACTTTGGCACGCTCCTCAAACGTCCCCCCCCTCACTTTGGAAAACCCCTCACTCATTTCGTGGCCCCATGAGGAGCTCCACCTCAGGTCTCAGTGGCTGCGTTCGCATGCCGCAGCCCCCCTCACTTTGGCACACCTCTCACACGTTTCATGGCACCATCGGGTGGCTCCACCCAAGGTCCAGTGGCCGCACTCGAATTCCGCTAAGCCCCATCCCTACGGCACACCCCTCACACGTTTCGTGACCCCATAGGGTGCTCCACCTAAGGCCTCAGTGGCTGCGTTCGCGTGCTGCTACCTCCCCCGCTTTGGCACACCCCTCACACGCTTCGTGGCCTCATAAAGGGGCTCCACCGAAGGCCCATGTGGCTCCGTTTGCATGCCGCCACCTCCCTCACGTTGGCACATTCTCACACGTTTCGTGGCCCCACAGGGAGCTCCACCGACGGCCCCAGTGGCTGCGTCCGCAGGCCGCCACCTCTCTCACTTTGGCACGCCCCTCACACGTTTCATGGCCTCCCAGGGAGCTCTACCGAAGGTCCCAGCGGCAGGGTCCACACGCGCCCGCACGACTCATGTTGGCACAGCTTTCACACGCTTCGTGGCCCCACTGGGAGCTCCGCCGAAAGCGACTCTCCCAATTGCGTTAACACACAATCATTTGGTTGGGTCCGTCGCCAGGATACTTCACGCTCGGCATATCATTCCTTTCCTGTCCTCGCCTTCCCTTCCCTCCCCAGTCCGAGCCTGGGGCGAGGCATCGACGTGCATTCGGTGCACCCGAGCCCAGTCAACTCGCGCTTCACCTCTGGGGGCGGCAACGACATCAAGGTTACGAAGATCGAGGCCATGACGGCAGCGTATAAGTTTGCGACAGGAGCGATCGGGAAGACAGGGCAGCGCGGCTCGTTCGGCTTGCCAATGTCTCGCACCCGACCGCAACGCTGATCCGCTGGCCTGCACTCCGCCCCAATGTGCTTGAACGACGGCGGTTGGGATCGATGCTGCTGCGGTTCGTAAGCTCCAGGACCCCCCCATACCCCCTCACAATTCCGCCTACAACCCACCACGATACCCTGGGACCCCCACCAGCCTCCAGCTTCCCCCATCCTCATTCCCCTCCTCCTTCTGCGCTTAGGGGGCTGTTGGGCTGCATGGCATGCTGGCTCAGGACGATTCATTTCCTCAGCGCGCCCCTCAGGGGTCCTGTCCTCTCCTTTGAAGGTTCTGGAATCCCGCCACGACAGCGACAACGACGAAGACGACGCCGCCGACAACGACTACGACGACACCGACGACGTCTCCAACGACTTCGACGACGCCGACAACGACGACGGCGACGTCGACGACGCCGACGACGACGACGACGCCGACGCCGACGAAGACGACGATGACAACGACGACGACGATGACGACGCCGACGACGACGACGACAACGACGACGATGACGACGACGACAACGTCAGCGACGCCGACGACGACCACGACGACGACCACGACGGCGGCGACGACGACGACGCCGACGTCGACGACGACGAAGACGACGACGACGCCGACGCCGACGACGACGACGAAGGCGACGACGACGTCGCCAACGAAGACGACGACGAGGGAGGAGGGATGACCACGACGGCGACAACGACGACAACGGCGACAACGACGAGGGAGAAGGGAGGACGGCGACGACGCGAACGACGAAGAAGGAGGAAGGACGGCGCAGCCGACGACGACAACGACGAGGGAGGAGGGAAGACGACGACGACGACGACAACGACGACGACGACGACGGCAACAAAATAGGAGGGACGACGACGAGACGCCGACGACGGACGACGACGACGACGAGGGAGGAGGAGGAAGGACGACCACAGCGACAACGACGACGGAAACGACCACGGCGCCAAAGAGGACGACGACGACGAACACAAGGAAAGACAGAGGACGACGTAGGCGACGACGACGACGACGCGGGAGGAGGGAGGACGGCGACGACGACGACGACGCAAAAGCGCGCGCGCACGCTTTTGTTGAAAATCCGTGTTGCGAAACCTTGTGTTTTTGTAGTTTTTTGGGACACCCGATTTTGAAACCCTTCCGAAACCGATGGGTTTTGAAGGATTTCGGCATACGCGCGCGACGACGCGCGCGTCTGCACTTCGTCCCGTTTTTTGCAGAGGATTCTCGCCACGGCACACGCGCAAGGGCGTTCGACAGATTTCGACATGCGCGCGCGCGAAGCCCGTTTGGTAGCATTTTGTGAAAATCTTGAAAAACCCACGGTGTCCTTAAGATTTCGCAAGAGCTCGCGCGTAAGCTTTTTTAGCAAATCAGTGTTGCGAAACCTTGTGTGTTTGTATTTCTTTTGGAAACTCGATTGCGAAATCCTTCCGAGACCAAAGGTTTTTGAAGGATTTTGGTATGCGCGCGCGACGACGCGCGCGTGCGCACTTCGTCCCATGTTCTGCAAGGGATTCGTGAAACAAATGTTATTGCAGAACAACAACTGTCCCCGCGTTTATTCATATATATATATAAACAAAAAAGGGAACCTCAGGGGACCGATACCGGTTCCCCGAGGATAGTGTACATTCATATTCAGGATGGACATGTGGTCAGAATCGTATGTGATTTACATACCCGAAAGGGGGACCGATAACGCGGGGGGGGGGTAGAGTCTATTCTTTAAGAAAGGAGAATCCACCGACGCGCAAGCATCCCACCCACCCATCCGCAACTTGGTTTGCAAGCCCCATGCGGCGGCGATTGCGATGAGTGCTTGGCGCTGGCTGGTGCATTTGCGTGGCCGCGACAGCCCGCGCATGCACGCGCGCGCAGCGCGCCAACTACTTTGGCACGACCGACGCAGCCGCGGTTGCGGTGACCGCTGGGCGCACCCACGCGGGCACTTCAGTGCGAGTCGGCGGTTTGGGCGGGCGCGCTATCATGGCAACGTCGACAACCGTAGACACTGTGATGATAGTAGCGATGCTGGTGACGAGAGAGCGACGACGGCACGGCCACTGACGGCGCCGATGCTGATCACGCCGACGACGATGACGGCGTCCTTGCGTCCGTGATGAAGGTTTTGGAAAGAGTTCGACATGCGCGCGCGGCCGACGCGCGAAAGTGGCCCGCATGGCATTATTTGACACTGATCGTGTCCCCCCATAGCGCGCGCAAGGGCGTGCGAATGATTTCGGCAGGCAGCGCCAGAGGCCCGTTTGGCAAAATTCATAGGACATCTTGAACAACTGGTGATTCACTGAATACTTCGCAAGAGCGCGAGCGCACGTTTTTTTTTTTTTTTTTTTTTTTTTTTTTTTTTTTTTTTTTTTTTTTTTTTTTTTTTTTTTTTTTTTTTTTTTTTTTTTAAATATAATATATATATATAATATATATATATATATATATATATATATATATATTTCTTATATGTTTTTTTTTTTTCTGTTTGCTGTTTAAAAATGAAAAAAACGATTTTGCGAAACCATGTGTCTTTATATGTTTGTTGGACCCTCGGTTTTGAAATCGCTAGGAAACCGAAATTTTGCGACTGTCTCTTGCATGCGCGCGCGACGACGCGCGCGTGTGCACATCTTTTCTTTGCAGAAGGATTCTCGAGACGGCACGCGCGAAACGGCGTTCAAACGATTTCGACATGCGCGCGCGCGAAGCCCGTTTGGTATCATTTTCCGAAACCTTTTGGTTCTCTTAAGAAGTCGCAAGGGCGCGCGCAATCTTTTATCGAACATATGTGTTGCGGAACCTCGTGTTTTTATTCTTTTTTGACACTTGATTTCGAAATCCCTATGACTTCGAAGGTTTTTGACGGATTCCGGCATGCGCGCGCGACGACGCGCGCGTGTGAAAACTGATGATTTTGGATAAACGACTGCGTGCGCTTAGTGTTTTTTGGCAGGGAATGACGGGGTGTGTCGATACCGGCCTGGCTGGGATGGTACGGGTGCCAAGTTAGGATGGAGGATGGGGCAACATTGATTGTAATTTGCAATACGAAAGGGGGACCGATAACTAATCCTTGGTGTGGGGGGGTAGAATTTGTTTTTTTCCACAGAGGAGAGTCTTCGCGACGGCGAGTGCGGCGACGGGCGGCACCGCCCGCAAAAGCCGCCACTCGCACCGAACGGCGGCGACGGCGACGGTGACGGCGACGACGGCGAGCGGCGCCGCCCACAAAAAAACGCCACTCGCCCCGAGAGGCGACTGCGACGGCGACGGCGACGGACGGCGACGGGCGGCACGGCGCCGAAAAGCCAGGACCGGTCCCTAGATGGCGTTCGCGAGAATATTTGCAATAATAGTAGTAGTAATAATAATACGGTTAATAATATTACTAAACATACTATGAATAATAATGATGATAATGATACTGGTAAATCAGTATTAATAGTCGTAATAATCGTAATGCAAGTAATGATTTAAATAATCAGGTCCATACTATCGACAATTTTAACAACAAGATTTTCAGGCTCGCTCCGCTTCGCCTTTCAATTTTGTTCCTTTGCCTGGGGTTCACATTTCTTGGAGCACTCGGCCTGCGCTTGCGGCCCGCGGAGCATGGGCGGGCGTGCAGGGTAGGGTGCGCGACTTTCGCGCCGCGTATTCGTGAGAAGCAATGTGCCGTTGTTGTTTCTTTTGACAAGAACGCCGTGGCTTCACAGGTTTTGTGGATACAACGTGGTTGCGCTTTGAAAAACGCTGCTCAAATGTGCCTTGCTTTGCCTCGTATGTGTATTTATCCTCCTGTTCCTCGCTCCCCGTCCCTTTGTCTGCCTGTGTATCCTCTCCTCCTCCCCCTCCAGTCCGGCCTCCCTGGGTCCCCCGTGGGTCGCTGGCGGAACGGCGCAGGCCATTCCGAGCGCAATGCGCCCATATCTCAGGGAAGTCCCTCGTGTGTGGGGGGGAAGCAGGAGTGGGGAGGGGCGGGCAGGGGAGAGATTGGGAGGAAGAGCAAAAGCGAGCGGAAGGGGGTGGGGGCAGGAAAGGAGGGAGGAGCGGGGCTGGGAGGTGGAAAAGGGGGGATCTGGCGCGGGAGCTGGGGGGAAGACGGGAAGGAGAGGGGGCAACATGAGGACGGAGGCTGTGGGGACGAGTGCTCATTGCTACATACAGTGCAGGAGAGGAGCACTGGGCGTGAGAATTGCCGCGGGCGACGTGAGTGATTCGACGGCGGCGGGGCCGAGATGGGGTTCTGGGAAGCATTGGATGGGCAGTGCGCTAGGCGGGCAGGAAGCGAGGGCCCAGAATGATAGGCAAGTGGGAGCTTTCCTGCGGCACTTATTGGAAAAAAACAATGCAACCGGTTTGCTTCTTTTCAATTCCCGACGTGGCGGCGTTGCCGTGAAGCGTTATTTTTCATTGTGGTACACTGGAAGCGGGTGTTGCGTTGGTGGAAGGGCTCAGGAGCCCTGCGGGGCAGTTTGAGACGATGCCAGTCCCGGCCGAGACGCGCGCGAAGCAGCACGGAAGTGCGGCGCAAAAGGCGCGCGCGGGAACGGGGGGGGCGCCCGCGGAGGACGGGGAGCTCTCACGGCTTCGCAGACGGCCTCTTGCGGGCCGCTGCCGGCTTCTTGTTGATGGTCTTCTGGGCCGTGGGCCCGGCAGCTGCGGGCGGCTTCGGGTGGAAGGTGTAGCGAATGGCGGTGCCGGGCTTGCATTCGCTGGTCGTGACGATGGTCGGGTACTTCGTAGCGATCTCGCGGAGGCTCTTCAGCGCGGCCGCGGGGACGTTACTGGCGATCACAATGTGCACGTTGATGAGCTCCTTGATGGTGCGCGGCTCCTGGTTCAGCTTTGTGAAGGAGCGAGTATGCTCCACGCGGTTGGCGAGGATGCGGGATTCGACCTGGAACGCCCCGTGGCGATCGTTAGCTGGGACGGTCAGGTTGACCTCGAGCTGCGCCTGCTGCAAGATGGAGCGCAGGGCCTCGCAGACGTGCTTCGTGGCTTTTTGGCCTGCGGCAGCGGAGTCGCCGTAGGCTCTGAGCACCTGTGCCCAGCTCGCCTCGCCGCAGGGATTGTTGCTGGCGGTCGGGCCCAAAAGGCTCTGGACACCCACGGACATGCCGCGCGGCGCCTGCGGTAAAGTCATCTGGGCGACGGCGTCTTTCTGGAAGCAGGTGAGGGCGTGGCGGCCCGCTCGGCTTTGGCGCAGACTGGAGGCGTCCGCTACGGTGGCACGGGCGCCGCTGGCGCGGCGGCCGTTCGCGTCGATCATCTCGCGCAAGACGTGGGTGGTGTACACGCTGGCCCTCTGTTGGGCTGGGAGGGCCTGCGCTGGCCTGGGAGTCTGCTGCGTCGGCGCAAACGTGGCGTTCGCGGCTTTGGGCGAAATAGTGGAAGTTCCTCCTGCAATCTGCCGCCTGAAACATATCCGCGGCAATGGAAACGTGCGTCCGTCGAGAGTGTCAATGAGCGCATGGTTCTCGCAAATTTCCCGCAATATGACAGGGGCGCGGTTCATGAGTCGGTCTTCGGGGCTGAAGTTCCGCATGAGCTCGTAGAGCGCTCCTTTGGTGAGGCGGACGCAGTGCGGTGGTGAGCCTGGGTGTTCTTGCGAGTTCAAGTACTCCGCGGTGACGTGGGGCTCGATGGCGCTATCCGTGTCCATGTCGATGGTGTCGCAGCTGCACTTGTCGTAGCTGGGGCAGCGCTAGATTAGCACCAACGTCTGGAGTATCCGAGTGTAGTGAGCGTCCACTCAACTATTCCGAGCGCAGAGGACCTTGCTTTTGGCGCATTCACGCGGGTCGTTCGGCGCCGGGAAGCAGAAAGACACGGCCTCCGGTTCTTCTGTAATGGTGGCGCACAGGTCCAAGCGCACGAAGCCGGTCTCGCCGTCCGCGGAATGCTCAGCGGGCGCGAGCCCTTCTCCAATGCGTTCCACCCATTCCGCGTAGCGCGGGTCTCCCCGTTGTCGGTAAACGGTCCAGAGTCGAAAACACGAGAATGCGCCGCAGGAAGGGGGCGCGCGCACGCTGGCCTGGACAATCGTCTGCCGAGAGGCTCGCGGCACCACTGGTGGGATCTGCCGGAAGTCGCCGTAGCAGATGAACGTATTGGGGGCGTGCGCGTCGGCGTAATGCGCTTCGAGCGCGCGCGGCAAACCGAACGCGGCCTCCCAGGCGGGTTTCTTGACGGAATGCCACTCGCCCCACTGAATGACCGCGGTCTGCGCCAAACGCACAGCCGCTGCGGAGCGCGCGCCCGGTGTGCAGGTGAGGTCGTCCTCGTCAGCCAGCGGAATGCCGAAGGTCGAGTGAGCGGTAGCCCCGTCGGGTAACTCCAGCGCGGCCTGCCCCGCGGTGGCGACGTTGACGACAGCGCGCCCTGTCGCCAATGCCTCGTTCGTGGTGCGTCGCGCCAGCGTGGACTTGCCAGTTCCAGCTCGACCCTCCACAAATATGCAGGATTCGCCACCCTGCTTCCAGCGCTGGGCCACGCGGTTGGCGACCGCTTGCTTGTCGGGGTCCGCGTGAACCAGCTCGGCGGCAGCGCGCCGCTGGTGCGGCGGCTGTAGGGCGGATATCGCTGTCGGGGTGGCATCGGGGGCATCGAGCTTCCAGGTGTCGGGCGCGTTGCCATTGAGCAGCGAACTGGCGTGGGGCGCCCGCGGGAGCTCTTGTCGGGCCGTCTGCAGCGAACGGCCTCGGTTCAGGAAGTCCCTCAGCAGCTGCGACTCGCACTTCTTGTGCAGGGAGATCGGGGCTGCTCCTTGTTCCAGAAGCACGAGGAAGGCGAACCTGAGTTGCGCGGCAGTGCGCTTGAGGGCGACCAGTTCGTCGAGCACGGTGGGGGCTTCGTCGGACTGAGCGAAGTGTCCGGTTGCCAGCGTGGCCTCCTCGTGAGACGGGTATGTTTTGCCGCTGTGGCGTCTGCAGTCGGAGAAGCTGTTCTTGGGGTAGTTCAGCAGCATGTGACGCAAATAGAAAACTTCTTTTTGCCTGGGATGCTTCATTTCCAGGCGGCACAGCGGGTGCACGAAGCGCGTCTGGCCGGGGGGGCTTTGGTCTATGGCGACGTCCGGCGGGCTGCAATCCGCGGCAGCAGCGCGGTGCTCAGGGAGCAGGGCGGGGGGGTGCGCGTGGAGCGGCGCAGGGCACCGCGGTGCAATCAGGTACATCTCGAAGTACTCGTGGCACTTCAAGTTCGCGAAGCACGACGAGGCGGGGCGGCAGAAGTACCGCTGTAGAGCGGAGGCGCGGCTTTGCACCGCCGCCTCCTCAGCACCTGCTGGAGCGCACTTTTTTTTTTTTTTTTTTTTTTTTTTTTTTTTTTTTTTTTTTTTTTTTTTTTTTTTTTTTTTTTTTGTGTTTTTTTTTGTTTTTTTTTTTTTTTTTGTTGTTGTTTTCTTTCTTTCTCTAAGGGCTGTATTGGAAAAGAGCGGCGTTTAGACTTTGCTCTTTTTGAAGAGATCTCATGGAGGCGAAGTTGAGCGGCGCGGGGCACTTTCCTCCCACTGCACCCAATCCTTGCTCAGATGCACGGGGAGGCGAACAACGTGAGGCCACCGATCGTACGTGTGATAACCGGGGATGCCAGGCGCATTCGGTGGCGCACAGGTAGCGCCCGCATAGCCACTCCTTGAGCTCGTCCTGGACCGATGAGTCGAGCGTGGCGTCGTAACTCGCTTTGTCGGGGCCTTTTGAAGAGGTACTTGGGAGCTCGTGGTGCCTGGGAGATTCTTGGGGGCTCTTGGTGCTCCCTGGGGGCCTCTCGGGGCCGAGGGTCAGAAAAGCCCGCTCGGGTACCCCATCTGTGCCTCCTCTCGGAACCGCCTTATGGGCTTCTTCGGCCGTCTTGGATGCCTCTTGGGCCGTCTTGGGGCCGTTCGGGGGTTATCTGGAGTCGTCTTGTGGCCGTCTTGGGAACATCTTGGGCTGTGTTGGAGCGATGTGGAGCCTTATCGGGCCGGCCTGGGGCGATGTCGAGGGCCTCTTGGGCTGTCTTGGGGTGTCGGGGAGCGGGAAAGCGAGAACTCTGGAATCCTGCCTGAACTATCGGAAAAAACAATGAATTTGGCTTCTCGGGCTCTCATGGGAGGCGTCTCGGAGGCCTTTTGGGTTTTCTGTTGGACCTTCGTGGAGCTTGCTTAGGGCGTCTGGGGGGCCTCTTGGACCGTTGCGGAGCTAACTGAGGCCGTCTTGAGCACTGTTGGAGCCCGCTTGGGCCCTCTGGAGCCGTTTTCGGCTTGTTTGGGGCAGTCTTGGGAGCATCGCGCGCCGATCGGGACACCCTCGGGGGGCCTTCTGAGCCGTCCGGGTGGCTCTCCTGGGCTGTTCTAGCCATTGTGATGCCCATCCGGGGGGGGGTATTCCCTTATAGTATGAAGGATGAAGGAACAATATCAACCAGCGTTGGCGCCAAATAGATAGCGGGTGATGATGGTGATGATGACGATGAGGACGATCCTGTTTTCCACACGCGCACACTCCAGTCCACTGTGCTGTACCGTATTGGGCCGTGCGGCCCAGCAGCTGCGTGCCCGCGCAGGCATAGGCATAGGCATAGGCGCGCGCGCATAGGCATAGGCATAGGCATAGGCATAGGCATAGGCATAGGCATAGGCATAGGCATAGGCATAGGCATAGGCATAGGCATAGGCATAGGCATAGGCATAGGCATAGGCATAGGCATAGGCATAGGCATAGGCATAGGCATAGGCATAGGCATAGGCATAGGCATAGGCATAGGCATAGGCATAGGCATAGGCATAGGCATAGGCATAGGCATAGGCATAGGCATAGGCATAGGCATAGGCATAGGCATAGGCATAGGCATAGGCATAGGCATAGGCATAGGCATAGGCATAGGCATAGGCATAGGCATAGGCATAGGCATAGGCATAGGCATAGGCATAGGCATAGGCATAGGCATAGGCATAGGCATAGGCATAGGCATAGGCATAGGCATAGGCATAGGCATAGGCATAGGTATTGGCATTGGCATTGGCATTGGCATTGGCATTGGCATTGGCATTGGCATTGGCATTGGCATTGGCATTGGCATTGGCATTTGCACAAGCATTGGCATAGGCACTGGCATAGGACGCATAGGCATAGGTTCAGGCATAGGAGACATAGGCATAGGCAATGTCCTCGGGAGGCATAGGCATAGACATAGGCATAGCCATAGGAACTATGGAGGGGGGGAGCAATAGGAATTAGGGGGGGAGGCAACGGACCAATTAGTAGGGTTTGAGTTAGAACTCCTGTAGGGCAACCCTATTTGGAGAATAGTATTGAGAATGCCGCTACTACGAATAATACTAATAGTAATAAATCTAATCATAATAATAATAACAGTCACCGTGTTAATGAGAGGAGGAGAAATGAGGAGAAGGTGGAGGATAGAGCAGGGCGAACGACCGGTGGGACGAGGGACAGACCGCCGGCGCAGGACCAGAAGTGTTGCCAGACCAGATCTTCTCTTGCTTGGGCAGGGCTCCAGTGATGATCGACCTCGGCGGCACCTCAGGAAGGCCTGGGAGGATTTGCTTGGTCGAAACGCCCGAAACGCTTCCAAACTCCCAATTGTCCAAGGGGGAGATTTCGGCCTCCACTCTCCACTCTGGATGTTCTTTTGCTGTAGCGTGAGCATTTGGGGAATTAATTAGGATGGTCGACGAGGTTGGGGGGCCTCTGGGTAGGTGGAAGCAGTTCATGAGGCGGACCTGGAAGGTTAGTCAGGTAGAGGCACCCCATGTCCTTCGCATCCGGGTGTTGTGAAGATGACGCGGCGGGCGTTCTTGCCCTGTTGCGGGCTGGGCCCTCATGGATCGACTTGGTTCGAAAGAACACGTGCAAGGATGCGGCCGGCTCTGCGTGATGTTGTTTGTAGCATTGCAGGCTTTTCGACGCGGGATGTCGAGGTCGGGAGCCGAGCGAGCGAGCGGGGTTCCAGGGCTGAGGCGCTCCCGCGCCGCTCTGTTCCGGGCCAGATCCCCGGATCAGATGGCAGCACGCTCGCTCGCTCGTTGCATTCCCGCACTCAACCTTTAGGCCTCCCCCTTTGTCCATCCAATTACCATCACTCCATGGGTGCATATCTTTCCGAGCAGCCTACGCTCACCACGTCAAGGCTGATCACATCGTTGTGTTCAGAAGCATCAGCAGCGGCATCATCATCATCATCATCATCATCATCATCATCATCATCATCATCATCAGCATCAGCATCAGCATCAGCATCATCATCATCATCACCAGCATCAGCATCAGCATCAGCATCATCATCATCATAACAACCATCATCCTCCTCATTACCATCACCACCACCACCATCATCATCATCAGCAGTACGATCTCCATCTTCATCATCACCACCACCATAATCACCGCCATCATCATCACGATCATCATCATCATCATCATCATCATCACCATCGTCCTCCTCCTCAACATCACCACCATCATCATCGTCATCATCATCATCACCACCATCAGCATCATTACCGTCATCATCTTCATTTCATAGTCTTCATCGTCATCACCCCCTCCTCCTCATCATCACCATAATCATCATAATCATCAGCATCATCATCGCCATTATTAGCATCAGCATCCACATCGTCGTCAACATCAACAGCAGCATCACAATCATCATCACCATCATCATCATCACCATCCTCGTTCTCACTAGCTTCATCATCATTATCATCATCATCATCATCATCACAAACATCATCAGCACCATCATCATCACCATCGCCATCACCATTATCACCATCGTCATCATCACCGCCATCATCATACTGATCATCATCATGATCGTCATCATGGTCATCATCACCGCCACCATCATTATCATCATCACCATCACCATCATCATCAGCATCATCATAGTCATCACCACCATCATCATCAGCAGCATCATCACCATCATGATCATCATCATCATCATCATCATCATCATCATCATCATCATCATCATCATCATCATCATCATCATCGTCATCGTCATCGTCATCGTCATCGTCATCATCATCATCATCATCGTTTTCACCACCAGCATCGGCCATCGTCGGCACCATCATGGGCACCATCATCGGCACCATCATCGGCACTATCATCAGCATCACAATCATCACCGTCGCCATCACACAACCAGTCATCCTCACTCCCCACTCACCCCCCTTTCCTTTCCCTCCCCCAGCCGTCCCACTCTCCTCGTCCGCTCCATCCGCCTCCTCCCCGTCCTCCTCCCCTACCACCGGCTCCTCCTCCTCTTCATCCTCCTCCGTCTTCTCTTCCTCCTATTCCTTCTACATCCTCTCCCGCGTCCTCCGACTTTTCCCCTCCCCCTTCCTCGCCATTCACCTCCTCCCCCTCCTCCTCCTCTTCTTCCTCCTCCTCCTTCTCCTCCTCCCCGTAGCCAGTTTGGCTCAACGGGCCTGCTCCTTGATTTCAACCCCTCGCCCAAGCATTGGGCGAAGAGGTTTTTGTGGCAACTTCTTGAGGCTTCTCAGGCCAGGGGTTCGCGACCCTGGGTCTGCACCAGTGTGCTCGGCATATCTTCCAGCACGGCGAACTTTCAGCCATGCCGCCGCCCACGGGGCGGAGTCGTGGCCGTACCCAGTCCCTTGCGCCCCTTCGCGCCAGATTACACGAAGTGCAAGAAGTGCGGCTAAAAGTGGTCGTACAAGAAGCGCGAAGCCTGCTTCAGCTGCGGCCGTGCTCTACGTCCTGCTTCCTCGCCGCCCCCCCCGCCGCGCGGCGTGTGGTCTCACGATCGCCTTGGCGACGCCGATAGGGGAGCGCGTGGCGCGGGCGAACGGCACGGTGGCGACGGCGACTGGCACGGGTGCTCTCGCCAGCGCCGTGGCGCTGGCGCCGCTTCACAGCCGCTGGCGGTGTCCGAGATGGTCGTGTCGCTCGAGGCCCAGGTCACTTCCGACGCCCAGAGGGAGGCGCTCCAGCTTCTCGAGAAGACCTTCGCCCCACCCCCGCCCGCCCCGCCCCGCCCCGCCCTGCGCTGGTGGAGGAGGGCATCCAGAGGGCAGCGGCCGCCGAGCGCGCGGCCAGGCGCGCCCTTGAGAACGCCTTCAAGCAGCTCTTGGATGCGAAGCTGTGGCTCGTGGACTTGCCAGGCCAAGTCCGACGCAGCAGCGGACGAGCTTGTCTCGGCCGAGGTCAAGCTGGCCAACGAGAAGCAGGCGCTGCAGGCTCCCTCGCAAGAGCCTACGGTATCAGGCCCCCGGAGGCCTCCAAGGAGAAGGGCCCCATCAACGTCATCAATTTGTCTGCGCTGCTGGAGGCGGACTCCACGGACTTCACGTCGAGGATGGCCCGCTCTTCGACCTGGAGGGCCTCGAGGTGTCGGCCGAGCAGCTCCAGCAGTTCAACACGCTCAATGCAATGCTGGCGGCTTCGGTGCAGGACGCGGTGCGCGCCCATTTCGGCCCAGGGGCGGATGCGCCCAGGGCCCAACGTGAGCAACTCGAGGAGCTCAAAGCTCTCCGCACCTCCTTCAAGAAGAGGGGCGCGAGGCCGAGGCTGCCGGGTGAGTCGGCGCCTCCCCCGCCCTCGAGGGGGATCCAGCTTGCAGTCGGCGCCCCAGTGGCCGCGGCGGCGGCCACCCCCCGGGATGCCCCCCTTGCCACCGCAGGCGCGCCCAGAGAGGGAGCGGAGGCGGCTGCCAATGAGGCTTTCGACCCCCCAGGCGCTAGTGTTGCTGCTCCTGCTGCTCATTCGGATGCAGCCTAGCAGGAGCTCAGGGGGGCCTTGGGCCCAGGCCCGCCAGCGCACGGCGGAGGCCGAGCGCAGGCCAGTGCCTTCCTAGCCAGCTCGGGCCTTCCACCGAGGCCGCAGCAAGGCCTCCACGTGAGCGTGGCCAGGGAGTTACGCAGACCCCTGGGCTTGAGTTTATCAGGTTCATTTATTCGGCTTGGGCCCAGGCTGTCAACGTGCATGACGAGATGGCCCAGCGGGAGATGGTCTGCTCTATGCGCGTCATACTCTTTCAAGAGCACAAGTTGCGCGCGCCAATATCCATCGAGGTCGAATCGACCAGTTTCGACAGGCACTGCGCTGCGCCGCTGGTCCCTGCGGTTACGGGGCCAGGGGGGGTCCTCGTCTGGGGTTGGCGTCGTGGCCCCTCGGAACGTCGGCTGGACCTACCTCGACGGCTTGTGCAGCTACGACATCTCACTGCCAGGCCCGCCTGGGAGTGTCGCTGCGGGGTGGTGCTCTGCTGGCCAGAAGGACGGCCTGATGTCCCGCGCTGCATACTTCTGGATTCGGGAGGGTTGGGAGATCCGCAACTGGTCCATATTGGATTCTCTCGCCGCCGTGATTAAGCATGCGTGCGATTCCTTGCTCGAGGCTGGCTGGTGCGAGGGTGTCCAGGGAGCACTTCGGGCGCCAACGGGCGCCGCGTGCTCCGAAGAGGAAGGTGGTAGCACCATCGATTTCTTTGTCCTGGGCGCACTATCCAGCGCGCCGTCGGCGAGGAGGTCGAGGCCCTCGACGCTAGCGCCTCCCCTCATTCGCCCGTGCGTCTCATTGCGCAGTCCAGGATGCGAGCGAAAGCGGGCTGGGGGCTCGCTAAGCCGCGCCCGTTTCCCACGCGCAGGCCCTTCGGCCCATCTCCGCCCCCCGCGCGCCGGCCAGCCTTGGATCGCCGGGATTTGCTCGACGGGGAAGCGCTCGCAAGCGTGTGGGGCAAGACTTGCGAATGTGCTGAGCGCGAGCTTGTGGGCGTCCTGGGCTTCAAGGTCCCTCGACCATTTCTCGGGCGCGGGGGCGCTCCTCGGCGGGCGTGGGCCCCTCTTGCGGGCCCCCGGGCCCGCGCGAGACCCGGGGGGGGCACCCGGTCCCCGAGCTTGGCGCTGGGTAGCCGCCGGAGCAGGCGACTTTGTGATCCTGGCGCAGGCCGCTAGGACGGAAGTCTCGTGGGATGCCTCCCTCCCTCGTCGCGCGAAGCTCGAGCGTCGCATCGAGGCAGGATGCGCTGGGCTTCGCCGCGATCTAGGAGAGCGGGCCGCTTTCGTTCGTTCGCAGTTGGATCGCCTCCGGAGGTTTGGGTTGCAGGGCGAGGCCCTCGGCGGGCAGGCCCTCGAGATCATGGGCCTGCAGCGCCGCGCAGTCGCCGCCGCTCAGGCTATTGAGCTTCAGCAGGGTTCGGAACCTTTCAAGGAGTGGCGCCAGCAACTGCAACGGAGCCCCGCGCTGGCAGCTCCTTCGCCCACGGCGTCAGCAAGCGGCGCTCCCCCCTGTTCTCCGGCGACGGGCACCTCCCCCTCGAACTTCGACCTGGCGGATCCTCTGGCGGCGGCGGGCGCAGCTGCGTGGAATGGATCTCGCCGCGGAGATCACGCGGCCCCGATAGCTCGGGCCCTAGCGATCGCCCTTGGGATAATGCTGTTTCGAGCACCATCCGGTCCACTCGGGCCGCGATCAGTTCGCCAAATTCTGTTTGAGCTTCCCTGAGCGCGCCGGCGTAGGCGCGGACCGCTGGCGCACCATTGCGTTTTCTTCGGTGCTCTCAGCAGTGCTGACTGGGCGCCCCCCCCGCCGCCGTCATATTGAACTGATTTCGGCTGGCGGGCGCGCCGCCGCTTTGTTGTCTGTTCCCCGCGCCTGTTCTTTCATGTGAGTTCGTTATCTCTGGCGCCCGGGGGCGCCCGCGCGCGCTCGGGGCTCGGGGGAGCTTGCGAGCGCCCCGGCGGGCGCCCGAGAGCGCGCGCGAGCGCCTGGGAGCGCCCGCGCGCGCTTGCGCCTGGGAGTTGCAAATATTCATCTGGAGAGGCGCGCTGCGTGACATGTTCCTCGAGGGAACTCAACCAGTTCTCCTTTAAGAGAATCACATCGTTTGCATTCTCGCTTTTTGCAGACAAATATTAGTTTCTTGTTTTTTGTTTTGACGTATCTTCTGTGCTCATTTTATCATTCTGATTATTCGAGTTCCGAATTCTGTTTCGTTTTTGTTGTAGTTTTCTTCGGCAGATCGCAAACCGCAGCCCACCAGAGTAATTCCGCGCTGGGTGCAAGACCACTCGCCGCCAGTTTTTTATGGGGGGTCCAACTGATTTACGCTCGTTTTGTTTTTTCTCGCCGCTTTTTAATTAAAAATCTTCTCCTTTTCTTCGACGCGTCGGATGCCGGTTCAGCTTCTTTTTTCCCCGCCGCCCGCTAATTCTCTCATGTGGGATGTGATGTACTGCTTCCGGCGCGACACTGGCGCCCCCGGCGGTGGGCCCGGCCGCCGGACGAAGGCAGGGATTGCTTCGCGCGGCCTGTCGCGTCCATGTCTCGCGCGGCCCGGCGGCCAGAGCCGGTCGGGCGTGTCACGCGTGCGTCTTCCGGTCCAAAAATCAGGAGGAAAAAAAACACACACAGACACAAGTAATCGTCGATCCCCAGGAAAATATGGAAACATGTGGGAAGTGGGGGGGAAGACGAAAACACAGAAAATATGTGAAAATATGGGGGATCTTTTTATTTGTGTGCATTTATTTGTGTGTTCTGGGGCCTCTTTTAAAAAGTCGGGGGGCGCCCATCCGAGTGGCCGCCTTCCGTCCCGCGCGCGAGTCGCGGGTTGTGCTCGCTCGGGCCTGTTCCACGACCGGGGGCGCCGTGCCGAGCGAGGGCATGACTTCGGGGGCCCCGGCGCGGGATCCCAGGATGCCGCCGAGCACCAAATCGTGCGCGACTAGGGGGCTGGGAAGAGGGAGGCGTCGGCGACGGGAGTCCTGGACTTGTCGCAGGCTTTCGAACATGTCACCGCGGTGGCGTGCCGTGGACGGTCGCCCCCCAAGCAGCGCCCGGGAGGCCGGGGAGGGGCGCCCGGAAGCCCGGCGGTCTAGGCGGGGGCCGAACAGACATTTCCAGCCCTGGGCTCCCAGAAGCCCAACAGGAAGCCCCGCGCAACTCGCGAGACCCCCCCCCCCCGACGCTCCCGAGACGCCCAAAAGGCTTCCCAGACAGCCCGAGATGCAGAGAAAACTGCGATGCCCGGGGGTGCGTTTGGGCGAGAATTTTGAGGCGAAGCCAGCCTTGGCCGCGAAGAGCGCCTCGGACGACAGACGACGACGCAGTCGACGGCTACGGGGGTGGCGACGGCGACCAGCGAAGGACGAAGGGCGACGGACGAAGGGCGCAATCGTGGCTAATTCGACCAAGTTGCCTGCCACTGCTGACCTCTCTTCTTCCCTCCTCTACGCGCTATCCTTCGAGCTAGCTAGAACTTGAGCGCGCGCGAAGTGCGCGCGACGGTGCTGGTTTGCATATTTTCTTGGGCACTCGATTTGAAATCCTTGCGACGCCGAAACTTTTGGAAGGATTGTGGCCGCGCGCGCGCGACGACGCGCGCGCGTGCACTTCGCCCCGTATGTTGCAAGGGATTCTGGAAAACCCATGATTTTAAGCCAGCGCGCGCGCATCGCAATACTTTGCAGAGGATGTCGGGGGGGGGGGGGGACGATGCCGGCCTTTTTATTTGTTTCTATATATTTGTTGTTGTTTTTGGGTATGGAAATTTTTGGCAGCGATACCATATGTTTGTAATTCGTATCGGGGCGCTCGATTTTGAAAACCTTGCGAAACTTACGGTCTGTGAGCAATGTCGAATGTTTGCGCAAAGAGTTCTTGAAAAAAACTTATAAGATGAAGAAGCGTGCGCGCGTGGTGTTATGTGACAGGGGTGAAGGCGCCAGTCGGTACCAGCTCGGATGAGGTGGTACGAGTTCATATTTGGGAGGGGCGATGGGGCAGAATCAGATTTCAATTGCAAGGAGAAAAGGGGTGTCGATAATCCCGGGGGTGGGGGGGGTCTATTTTCTTTTTTAGAGATGGGGGGTGTATGGATTGCAACATGCGTTGTGCAGTCTGCGCGGAGCAATCTATGATACGCAAGCTGTGCGGTGCAATCTGTGCGGCGCAATTCACCAACGTTCAACTGGAAATTGTTAATTCCACATCTCGCGCAATCATCCCACCTGCACACCCGCGACTTAGCTCGCAAAACCCATGCGGAGGCGATTGCGATGAGTGCTGGGCGTTGGCAGGTGCATCTCTGCGGCCGCGCAAGCCTGCGCGTGCTCGCGCGCGCGCGCAGCGGCCAGCCAGTTTGGCGCGACCGACGCGGCCGCGGTGGCGCTGGCCGTTGGGCGTATCCCAGCGGGCACTTCAGTGCGAGTCGGCGGCTTGGCGGGCGCAGTGCACCCTCGCACTTTTCGCGGCCCCACAGGGATCTCCGCCGACGGTCCCAGTGGTTGCGTTCGCGTGCGCCCCCCGCAACCATTTTGGCACGCCTCTCACAAGTTTCGTGGCCCCGCAGGGAGTCCCGCCGGCGGCCCCAGCCGATGCTTTCACACGCGCCAGCCGCACCCATTTTGGCGCACCCCTCGCGCGCTTCGTGGCCCCATAGGGAGCTCATCCGAATGCGGTGCGTGCAACGACGGTATTCCAACTGTATATGGTTGGGCCCTTCGCCAGGCTACTTTCTATGTATATTTTGCGTGACGCTCGATTTTGAATTCCTCACCACAGCAGAAATGTTCGAAGGATTTCGGCACGCGCGCGCGACGACGCGCGCGCGTGTACTTCGCCTTTGCAATTGATGTTTGAAAATGCTGGTTGTTCCCAGCCGTCTCGTGGTGTTGGGTCTTCGTTCTTAAGAGACAGAGCCCCACGTCCCACCCCCTCTTCTCTCCTCTCCTCTCCTCTCTTCTCCTTTCCTCGTTTCTCCTCTCCTCCTCCTCCTCCTCCTCCTCCTCCTCCTCCTCCTCCTCCTCCTCCTCCTCTGCCCTCCTCTCCTCTCCTGTCCTCTCCTCTCCTCTCCTCTCCTGTCCTCTCCTCCTCTCCTCCTTCTCCCCCTCCTCCCTCCTCCCGTGACCTCCTTCGCTTTGGCACGCCCCTCACATGTGTGGTGGCCCCATACTGGCGCCTCCACCGAAGGCCAAACTTCCAGCGCTCGCGCGCGCCCGCCGCGCCAATTTTGGCACGCCCCCACCCGCGCGTTTCGTGGTCCCTTGTGGGCTCCGCAACAAGGCTCAGATGCCAGCGTTCGAATGCGCCCGCCGCGCCCATGCTGGCACACCTCTCACACGTTTCGTGGCCCCATAGGGAGCCACACGGAGAGCTCAAATGCCAGCGCTTGCATGCGCCCACCGCGCCCATTCTGGCGCACCCCTCACACGCGTAGTGGCCCCGTATGGGAGCTCCACCGAAGGTCCTCGTGCACGCGCTCGCATGCGCCCGCCGCGCCCATTTTGGTACGCCCCACGTGCTGGGCAGTCGATTTTGAAACCTGTACGGGGCCCAAGGTTTGTGAAGGATTTCGGAATCCGAGCGCGACGACGCGCGCGCGTGCACTTCGTCCCGTTTGTTGCACGGGGATTCTTGCGACAGCACGCGCGCAAGGGCATTCGAATGATTTCGGCATGCGCGCGCGAAGGGCCTGTCTGGCGCATGTGATGAAGGTGTTGGAAGCCAACCATTGGTTGCTTTAGGATTCGAACAAGTGCGAACGCAGATTTTTGTTTTGAACGTTTTGGCAGCGATTCCATATGTTTGTAATGTGTATCGGGGCAGTCGATTTCGAAAGCCTTGCGAAACTTACGGTTTGTGAGCAATGTCGAAATTCGGAATGCGCGCGCGACGACGCGCGTGTGCACTTCGCCGCATGTTTGTGCAAAGGGTTCTTGAACAAAGATTAAATAAGATAAGAAGCGTGCGCGCGTGGTGTTATGTGACAGGGATGAAGGCGCCAGCTGATACCAGCTCGGATGAGGTGGTACGAGTTCATTTTTAGGATTGACGATGGGGCTGGCTCGATGTAGATTGCACATTCCCAGGGTGCACTGCAAATCCGGGGGGGGGGTCGATTTGAATTCTTTTGTGGAAAGAAAACCCACGCATTGCAATCTAAGTGGTGAAATCTCTGTGGTACAATTCATGCCGTTCAATCTATGTAGGCGGCGACGAGGCGGGGACGGGGCGGCGACGGCGGCAACATAGTCGCCAGACCGACCGACACGCCCAAACGACGGGCGGCGACGAGGCGGCGACTGGGCGGCAACGGCGGCCACATAACCGGCAAACCGAAGACGCGGCCCAGTTCCTTAGAGCACAAGTAGGAAAGCCTAAGTGCAAGCACTGCTAGGGAAACGTTGGAATCCGAGAAAAACGGAACATGCAAGTGTGTTCCATCATTTTGGTGCTGGAAGCGGAAAGCACGTTGAAAACGCAGTGTTGCCAGCAGTGTGAATTCCAGCACGTTGAGCAATACTGCGTTTTCGCCCATCGGAACGCGAAGAAGTTATGTGTTACAGCGTTTTGGAGCTGCGATGGCTGAGAGCGCTGTGTTTTACAGCGTTTTGGAATTCCGATTGCTGAACACGCAGTGTTTTAGGTCGTTTGGGGGCCACGGTTGCTGAAAGGTTGCGTTTGGCAGCATGTTTAAAGCTCCGCTTGCTGGAAACGCTAATGTTTGCGACGTCTTGAAGCTCCGATTGCTGAAAACGCTGTGTTTTACATGTTTCAGCCTCTGGTACCAAAACGATTGAGAACACAAGGGGTAGTTTCGTTTCCGCCACCCAAGGACATCCTTATGTAAGGCCGCCGCACATGGAAGTCATGTTTCGAAGGCCGCCACACATGGAAATCCTTGCGCAAGGCCGCTGCAACAAGAAAACTGTTTTGTAAAACCACCACATAAAGGACATCCTTCTGTCAGGCCACCACAAACATAAATATATTTGTAACGCCGCCACAAACGGAAATCTTGAGTCAGGCCGCCACGTGAGGAAATCGCATTGTAAGGCCGCCACAACAAGAAATCGTTTTACAAGGTCGCACGATGTTTTTTGTCCTTGCTCCTCAATTTCATTGGGACTGGCGACGACGACGACGACGACGACGACGACGGCACCAGCGTCTTCCACACGCAGAAGGGTCGGTGTATTTCCCTAAGCAGCTTAGTTGTAAGGGTTGAAGGGGTTGGGGGTCGTGTCAGGCCCTAGTCGATGACTTGACGGTCTTCTGTATGGTGTCCCGTATGGCCTCCCTTTAAGGTCTCATCCCATCTGGTTTCTCTTACGGGCTCACAGATGATCTCCTGTATGGTCTTGCGCATGGTCTCCTTTATGGGCTGCCGTATGGCCTCCCGTATGGGGACTACCTGGTCTCCCTCGTGGCCTCAATTATGATCTCCTTTATGGCCTCCCCTATTGTCTCCCTTAATGATCTCTCGTATGGTGACTGCCGCGTGATCTCCCGTGCGGCCTCCCTTAAGACCTTCCTTACGGACTCTCGTGTGGTCTCCTTCTTGGTCTCCCTCTTGGCCTCCCGTCTCCTCTCCCGCATGGTTTCCTCTGTGGCCTCGCGTGTTGTCTCCCGCATGGTCTCGCGCATGGTCTCCCGTGCTGTCTTGTCTCCGGTCTGCCGTATGGTCGTATGGTCTCGCTTCTGGTCTCCCTTCTGGTCTCCCATTCTGGTCTCCCTCCTCCCTCGTGGTACACATTCTGGTCTCCCTTGTGTGGTCTCCCTTGTGGTCTTCCTTCTGGTTTCCTTTACGGTCTCCCGTATGTCCCCCCTGCTGGTCTCCTTTACTGTCTCGTTTTCGGTTTGCCGTATGGTCTCCCTTATGGTCCCCTTTATGACTTCCCTCCATTCTGGTCTCCCTTTGGTCTCTCTTATGGTCTCTTTGATGGTATCCATTCTGGTCTCCTTTTTGGCTTCCCTGAAGGTCTGCCTTCTGGTCTCCCTTATGGTCTTCCGCATTGGCTCTTCCTTCCGGTCTCCCCAATGGTTTCGCTTACGGCCTCCATATGGTCTCTTGTCTGGTCTTTCTTATCTATTCTCGTCTCCAATTTCGTCTCCCTAGTGGCCTCCCTCGTGGTCTTCCTAAGTGCTCTCCCCTGTGGTCTCCCGCATTGTCTTGCGTATGGCCCTTTTTTTGATCTCCCTTATTCTCCCGTATGGTCCGTATGGTCTTCCTTATGGTCTCCTCTCCGGTCTCGATGCTGGTCGCCCTTATGGTCTCCCGTACGGCCTCCCTTACGGCCTCCCTTCTGGTCTTGCTCAAGGCCTCCCCCCGTGGTCTCCCTTCATGGGCTCCCGCATGGTCTTCGGTCTAGTCTCCCTTAAGGCCTCCACATGGTCTCTCGTGTGGTCTTCCTTATGGTCTCCCTTGTGGTCTCCCCTCTGGTCTCCCTGCTGGGTTCCTGTATGGCCTCCCTTGTGGTCTCCCGTATGGTATCGCGCATGGTCTCCCACATGTGCAGCACAGTGTAGTATTGTCTGTCTTATTTCGTGCAGTTTAGACATCCTGCCCTGCATGTGCAATTGCCTTTGCCGCGCTCGCATGCCGCTGCCATGTCGGCACGTTGTCCTGACGAGGCCCCGCATGCCGAAACGTTGGCACTCGTACTAGAATGGACGGGCGTGATAGCGCCATACGAGTAAAGGCCCGACTCGGTTCTCGCCGTGCTGACACTATGATGGCATTCGCGGCAAGGGAGCCCTCGCATCAATTTTCGCATGCCGGCGTCACTGAGAGATCATGGCTGATATTGCGAAGGCCTTACGGCCGGTGCCGCCGACCCTGAATGGCGACGACGACGACGACGACGACGACGACGACGACGACGACGACGACGACGAGCGCTCTTGGGGGCCTCTTGGGGGTAGTTTGTGGGCCTCTTGGGAAGCTCTTAGGGGCCGCTTGGAAGCCTCGTGGGGGCCTCTTGGGGCTTCCTGGGGGTCTCTTGGAGGGGGCCTGGGACGTCTTGGAGGCTTCTTGGACGGTCTTGGGGCTATCTTGGGCGTTTTCGGCCGATCTTTGGGCGACTCGGGGCCCTCTTGGGCCGTCTCGGGGGCCATCTTGGGCATTCGGACCTCATTTGGAGTGTTTTCGAGGTTTCTAGGCCGCCCGAGGAAAAACGAATCTGCCCCCCACCCCCCCGGGACCCCCCCGGGACCCCCCCCGGGACCCCCCCCGGGACCCCCCCCCCTGGGGAAGGGATCAAAGGGAAGGGGCTTCCCTTCGACTCGATTACGACACTGCTAGATTTTTCTCTCGCTCACGAGCTTGAGAAGGAAGCTGCAGGGAAAGGGGACGACGGAGGCGACGACCGACGGAGACGACGACTCGAACAGCCAAGCCCCTCGCACACGCCGACAGGGTCGGCGGATTCTTGTTTCGTTTTCGACCCAGGACCCCCACGGGCGGGTCTGGCTTGGAAATCGTGCCGAGAGTTCCGGTCGCGCTTTTTCGCGCTGTAGTGTTTTTGTTCTCGACGTCGGATGTTGGAGGAATGATGGCATCCAGATCGGCTAGGGGCAAAACAGGCGTCGGGTGGAGGTCGTCCTCATATCCAGCGTTCCGCTATTGAGCCTGCCTAGCATCGCAGTGGTGTTGGGTAGCTGTGCCGAAGAGCACTTCCTGGCCCTGGTCGCGATGATTCAGAGATTGTTCCAGAGTTGTTCCAGGCGCCTCTTGATAGTCTGGCGACGTGCTGGGCGTCTCGGGAGCCACCTTGGGAAATCTTCAGGTCGTCTGCGAGTGTGTGGGTTTGTGTTGGAGGTCCTGATGCAATCCTGGGAGATCTTGGGGTCGCCTTAGGATGGTCTTGGGCCGTCGTAAAGTTGCGAGAAGCTGTCATCGGGCCGTCTTCGTGACGTGAAGATCCGCCTCTCCAAGCTGGCCGAATCCAGCGCTCGGAACCCCGTGCTACGCTGTCTCCGCCCCTTTTCGTTGCTGGCTCCCCCCGCTCTCCTTGCATCTTCTCGGCCCCCCGCACTACTAGCCTCCGTGCTTCGTTATCTGTCCTTCGCTTCCCTGCCTGCGTTTGCTCCCAGCAGGGGAGGCGGGGGAGGTGGAGCAGAAAGACCATCCCCTCTTGATGTCGGAGTGTCCCAGCCCCTTGCATAACAAGTTAAACGAGGCGGCCGCCAGTTGGCATGCGGCTAGTCGTGCAGTTCATCGGCTTCAACCTGATGACCTACGGTTTCGCTTTGTTTGCACCCCTGATGCCGGACTTCAAGAACAACGTGTCCAAAAAGGCAGCTTAGATCATGTGGGCCTGCTTCGTCATGATACCTGCTGTCCAGGGCGTGAGACCCCTTGGGGACCGATAATCAATTCCAGCGTAGTGCGCAAGCGTGCAGTGTTCTACCCCTGTGGCCAATCGTGGATCGCACCATTATGTTGCTGCTCTTGACCAGTATTTGTGTAGGCAGATTCTACCTCAGTATAATTGGATCCGTCATGCATCGTGCGCCAGTGGCAATGCTCACTGGCGGGACCTGGTTTTCGTGCGAGACCTCGTGTTCCGAGCAAGCGCGATGCCGTGATGCTCAGCACACGGAACATAGCATATTCTCTTCACAGCCGCCAGTCCGATCCTCCTCCCGCTCCCCCGCCCCCCTCCCTCACGGAGGGGGGCGGCGGGGGGGCGAAGCGGGAGGGGGCGTGGCCGGCCGATGCGAAGAGGGTCGACTAGAATACTCTGCGCCGACATCAAGGACGGGTGGCACACACCCCTGCGGCCGCGACACAAAGTTGAAGGCATATGTGGACATGCCTCGTGCTGCTCGCTGTCATTTCCTGCTGGACCGATGGTCTTGCCGCTCGCTCGTGCCGTCTCTCTTTTGCCCTTCCTGCTCCAACTGCTGCCAACACGCTGCCCCGTCGTGTTCTCTGCTTTCAGTACCCTGGCGGGCCTCATCGTCGATCGAAAGCGTACACCCTCGTCATGATTGAAGCTGCCCTCGCCGCAGTGTCCTGTGTGAGCTTCTCCTTCGAGTATCTCTGACCCCTCTCGCTTACGTGCCCGATTCTTACCTGCTCGTGCAGGGCGTGCACATGCACCCACAGAGGTAACGAGCGCGAGCGCCCGGACACGCAAACGCTTGAACGCAACGGTATCCACAGTCATTTCGCTTGCCTGGACTCTTGAGGCCGAGTTCGCATTATCCCTCCCCCTCCTGCTTCTTCTTGCCGTCCCCCGCTCCTCCATCCTTCTACTCGCCTCATCCCGCTGCCTCCTGCCTCGTTCCGCATCTCTCCTCCCTCTTTCCTCCCTCCTCCTCATCAGCAGATCCGCTTTGGCATTTTGCGCTAGTGCCTGACCCTGAGCGTCCTCTCCCACACTCCCACATCCCCAATGAGCATGGAGGTCCTTTGGGACTTCAAGGATTGCCCTGACCAGCCTTTGTCGTTTTCGCATGTTTCCAGTGACGGTTCTGGCCCTTGTGGGCCTTCTGCCCGTGTCCTCCGAAAAGTCGTTTCGGCTGTGTCAGTGTGTCCTGGTGGATCTGCTTGCATAGCTGTTTCGGTGCCTACCCTTGAATACATCAATCAGCGCACGGGTCCGATCCTACGGCGCTACTGGTGTTCTTTCTCCATGCGGTTCCCGACCCGCATGGGCGTTATGAGTATTTTCGCGATTGTCATTGGGTTGTTAATGCGCGGTCAGCCCGGGAATGCCATTTTATTTCGGGCTGGCCCCCACGCCGATGCGGCGTACTCATTCTGAGGCCATGCTGTGCAAGGCTGCGTAACAGCCGGCGGGAGACGGGTGCCCTGTCCACTGACGGACATCACAGCCTCCCGCCGCGCTGAGCGGACCGGATCGGTTGCCGCAGACCTTTCCCTCATCGCGCAATCGTGCGCCATGTGGGCGACCACGGGAACCGGGCACGTTTCGCCCGGTGCGCTTCGAGAGAGGAGGGGCCTGCAGGTCCCCATGTATGGGTGCGCCACTTGACACATGGCTCTGCTTAACCTACCTGCGGTGCGAAGAATAAGCGAACGAGTAGACGGGAGGAGGGATCAGGGGAGCAGAGAGGCGTGCGGAGGAGTCTCGAGGAGTGCGGAGAAGTGGAGCGATCTGGAAGGAGCAGGAAGGCATGGGGAGGAGTGCGGAGAAGTGCGGAGGAGTGCGGAGGAGTGGAATGGAGGGTGGAGGAGTGTGGAGGAATGGGAGACGTGTGGAAGAGGCCAGAGGAATGGTTAGGAGTGGAACGGATGGTGGAGGTCTGGGAGAAGTGCGGAGGAGGGCGGAGGAGTGGGGAGGAGCCAGAATGGATGGGAAAGACTGACAAGGAGTGAGGAGGAAGGGTGAGGAGTCGTTAGGAGTGGAACGGAGGGTCGATGACTGGGGAGGACTGGGAGGAGTGGGGGGGAGGGTGGAGGAGTGCTGAGGAGGGCGGAGGAGTACGTAGTGATCTGGGGAGGAGTGTGCAGGAGTGCGGAGCAGTAGGGAGGACCGGGAACGTATGGGGAGGAGTGCGGAGGAGTGCGGAGGAGAGCGGAGGAGTACGGGGTAGGTCAGAGAAGTGGTTGGGATGTGAACGGAAAGGGGAGGAGCGGGGAGGAGATTGGGAGGAGTGGGGAGGAGAGCGGAGGAGTGCGTAGTGGTGGAGCGGCCTGGAGAGGAGTGCGGAGAAATGGGGAGGTCTGGGAACGTATGGAAAGGAGTGCGGAGAAGTGCGGAGGAGGGCAGAGGAGTGCGGAGGATTGCGGAGGAGGGCGGGAGGAGTGGTTGGGAGTAGAACGGAGCCGAAATGGGTGCGGCGCCGCCATGCCAACGCAGCCACTGGGGCCTTCGGTGGAGCTCCCTATGGGGCCACGAAACGTGTGAGGGGTGTGCCGAAATGGGTGCGGCGCCGCCATGCGAACGCAGCCACTGGGGCCGTCGGTGGAGCTCCCTATGGGGCCACGAAGCGTGTGAGGGGTGTGCCGAAATGGGTGCGGCGCCGCCATGCCAACGCAGCCACTGGGGCCTTCGGTGGAGCTCCCTATGGGGCCACGACACGTGTGAGGGGTGTGCCAAATCGGGTGCGGCGCCGCCGTGCCAAGCAGCCACTGGGGCCCGGTGGAGCTCCCTATGGGGCCACGAACGTGTGAGGGGTGTGCCGAAATGGGTGCGGCGCCGCCATGCCAACGCAGCCACTGGGGCCTTCGGTGGAGCTCCCTATGGGGCCACGAAACGTGTGAGGGGTGTGCCGAAATGGGTGCGGCGCCGCCATGCCAACGCAGCCACTGGGGCCTTCGGTGGAGCTCCCTATGGGGCCACGAAGCGTGTGAGGGGTGTGCCGAAATGGGTGCGGCGCCGCCATGCCAACGCAGCCACTGGGGCCTTCGGTGGAGCTCCCTATGGGGCCACGAAACGTGTGAGGGGTGTGCCGAAATGGGTGCGGCGCCGCCATGCAACGCAGCCACTGGGCCTTCGGTGGAGCTCCCTATGGGGCCACGAAGCGTGTGAGGGGTGTGCCAAATGGGTGCGGCGCCGCCATGCCAACGCAGCCACTGGGGCCTTCGGTGGAGCTCCCTATGGGGCCACGAAACGTGTGAGGGGTGTGCCGAAATGGGTGCGGCGCCGCCATGCCAACGCAGCCACTGGGGCCGTCGGTGGAGCTCCCTATGGGGCCACGAAACGTGTGACGTGGGTGCCAGGGGTGCTCCTATGGGGCACGAAAAAGGTGCGGCGCCGCCATGCCAACGCAGCCACTGGGGCCTTCGGTGGAGCTCCCTATGGGGCCACGAAACGTGTGAGGGGTGTGCCGAAATGGGTGCGGCGCCGCCATGCCAACGCAGCCACTGGGGCCTTCGGTGGAGCTCCCTATGGGGCCACGAAACGTGTGAGGGGTGTGCCAAATTGGGTGCGGCGTCGCCATGCCAACGCAGCCACTGGGGCCTTCGGTGGAGCTCCCTATGGGGCCACGACACGTGTGAGGGGTGTGCCAAATCGGGTGCGGCGCCGCCATGCCAACGCAGCCATTGGGGCCGTCGGTGGAGCTCCCTATGGGGCCACGAAACGTGTGAGGGGTGTGCGGAAATGGGTGCGGCGCCGCCATGCCAACGCAGCCGCTGGGGCCTTCGGTGGAGCTCCCTATGGGGCCACGAAGCGTGTGAGGGGTGTGCCGAAATAGGTGCGGCGCCGCCATGCCAACGCAGCCACTGGGGCCTTCGGTGGAGCTCCCTATGGGGCCACGAAACGTGTGAGGGGTGTGCCGTGATAGTGGGAGGGGGAAGGAGGGAGGGGGAGGAGTCGGAGGAGGAGGAAGGAAGGAAGGAAGGAAGGAAGGAGAGGAGACGCGGGGCACCGTCTCTTCAAAACGAGGACCCAACACCACAGGATGGTTGGGAAAAAAATATCCCCACCAGCCCATCCAGACACGATCGGCGGCATTCTTGAGGCCTCTTGGAGGCCATCGTGAGCCATGTTCGGCTAGAGGCTGTAAGAGGCTATCCTGAGCCATGTCCAGCTATCTTTGGCCGTCGTGTGGGTGTCTTGAGGCCTCTTAAAGGTCTGTCGGAGGCTATCCATGCTCCACCTCCTGGGACCAGCTTGGGGGTAAGTGGAGGAAGAGGAGGAAGAGGAGGATGAGGAGAAGGCGGAGGAAAAGGAGAGAAAGAGGAGGAGGGGGGAGAAAGGGAAGATGAGGATGAGGAGGAGGAGGAGGAATGCGGCACGATGAAGATGATGATGATGATGCTGCTGCTGATGATGATGATGATGATGATGATGATGATGATGATGATGATGATGATGATGGTGATGGTGGTGGTGATGGTGGTGGTGGTGACGAAGAAGAAGAAGAAGAAGAAGATGATGATGATGATGACGACGATTATGATGATTATGATGATGGTGGTGATGATGATGCTGGTGATGATGATGATGGGGATGCTGATGAAGGTGATGACGATGCTGATGCTGATGCTGATGAGGATGATGCTGATTATGACGATGCTGTTGATGATGTTGATGATGATGAGGACGATTATGATGATGATGCTGACTCTGACGATGATGATGCTGATGGTGATGATGATGGTGAAGATGGTGATGATGATGCTGATGGTGATGATGATGACGATGATAATGCTGATGGTGATGGTGATGATGATGCTTCTGATGATGATGCTGATGGTGATGCTGATGGTGATGATTATGATGATGATGATGATGATGATTATGATGATGATGATGGTGATGACGATGATGTTGCTGATGCTGACGCTGATGATGATGTTGATGCTGATGAAGGCGATGAAGATGACG